TCAAAAATAATTTTGTAGAATGGTTAGTTTTATTGCTGACAAGGCGCGCAAAAACAATAGGGTAAACTACATATTCAGTACCTAAAGTATCACTTTTTATTCCGTTTTAATACTTAAATTTTTAAAAAAAAATTAAAACCACACCTAGAGTTTACTTTTTTATTTCATTTTAGTTCCTGACGTTTACTTTTTATTTCATTTTATTACCCCCATTGTTAACTTTTTATTTCATTTTAGTACCTAAAAGTTTACTTTTTATTTTATTTTAGCATCATATTATTAACTTTTTGTTTCATTTTAGTACTTAATTTTTTTAATGACGGTACATAAATGAAAAAAGTAAATTTTAAGTATTTTTTTTAAAAAAATTGAAAGTTTAGATACTAAAATAGAATAGAAGTGATAGTTTAGGTGCTAAACATGTAATTTACCCAAAGCAATAATACCAAATAAAACATAGACTAGGGGGCGGTTTAATGCGCAGCTCATCCAGCTAAAAGTAAAAGGGAAAGAAGTATTAATAAATAAATGAAAATCAGTCGCATTTATTTAGTTAATCCTTGTATTTTTTTTAAAGGTATAGTACACAACGGTCTCAGTTATATAGAATTACTTTTTAAATATTTCTGCTATTAAAATTTTATAACATAATCCTCAGACGTCATTAAAAATTATAAATAATCAATTAACTATTTATATATTTCATACTCGTATTTCTTTATTAATTAATTTATGGCCGTTTGAGTTAGACGTTAATCTGTTAACTATGATATGATAAAATCTGATCTCAAAATTATTTAAGTTGTATTTTAATGATTGACTCTCTAATTACATTATACTGTCAAATCAATTTTTAAAACATTATGTTGTTGAGTCAATACTTGAAAGCAACGTCGGTAGTAGTAGACATCATTAAAAATATGATTTTATCATAACTAATCAATAGGTAACACAGACGACCATCAATTTTTTAATGAATAAAGACGAGTTCGAAACATATTAATTATCAGGTGATATTTTTTAACTTTTAATAATACGAATACTTAACAAAAACAACACTTTATAATATAAATATCATTTAAGTGCTTTACTCTTTTTTTTCCGAAAAAGAACTTGGTTGCATTTTGCAGTGAGAAAGTAAGGCCGGGAGCAGTTAATGGTGTCGTGTAGTTGATGATTTTGAATTTATGACCAACCAAATTGTTAGTGCATAATTAGTGTCCTGTCTTCAGCTCTGAATATGTCAGGGTGAAACTGTAATTATCTGTGAGATTAGCTGTTTTTTTATTTGTTTATCAGATTATGTGAGCACGACCTGCCAGAATTCTCAAAATCAAAATTTAGAATTCGATAATAAATCAAGGGTGAGCTTGGATGGAAGTGGTGGTTGGATTGTGTCGTTAATGACACATGGCTGTGACTGCTTGGCTTTTAGCTCACCCACCGCCTACAACCATATATAGTCAATAGTAAGTCATACTCGTATATATATATATATAGCCACCTTATCATATAATGCATCGATAGCGACTTGGGATCTCTTCAAGTTCTTCCCTGCCAATTTCCATTATCTTCAATCTCATTGCCCTTTTAACTGATTAGCCCCTTGGCTTCTCCTACAATTTGTGCCTTCCAAAACCTCCTTGAATAACCGCATGAGATGGGATAGGATTTTAGTATAGCTTATTGAAAAAAAATGTTGAATAGATATCAATTCAATCAGTATTGGTGTTATTAAAGATCACTGGAGGTTATAAATTTGAATGGAATGTGAACAAGAACATGGAAATTTGGATGTTTAAAAATAATTTAAGACATGTATTTTTAAAATGATTAAAAATGTGGGATTTGGTATTTGATTTAGACTCTTCAATGAAGGAAATGAGAATTTTATGAAACTGAGTCTTGCGAGGACAGCATATTTACCTAACAAATTACTTTTATAATACCAAAGTAAGTAAAGTTGATCCGTTACATCCATCCTCATATTGGAAAACTACGCATCTATCTCAAATAGATCTCCACTGGACCTCTCAACTACTGCTACTAAAACTAAACCAATTATATATATATATATATAATTAAGACTTTTATATATTTTTAAGACCGTTGGATTGAGAAAAATAAAAAATTTAGATTAACTCCTATTTTTTTCTAGTAAATATCTTTTTTTCTACTGTCAATCTTAGTCTTTGATTTCTCTCATCCAATAGTTTTAAAAAGATGTAAAACTCTTAATTTTATACTGGAAGTAAACATGTCTTGTCCATATATATATATATATGAATAGTTTATTATCAAAATCATCATTTTTTATATAAATTATGAATAGCATTTATCAGTTTTAACAGTTTAAATATATATTAATTTTTAAAAAAACATTAATGTCTTGAAACTAAAACATTAATTAAATATAAAAATATATTTTTATTTAAATCTAAATAAATATCCTCTCCATTCTGTTTTCTTTATTTTCACATATTAATAAAGCATTCATTTTTGTTTGAATTTATGACATGGTTGTTTGTTTACTTTTATAGCACGGTTTTGTCTATATTTACAATAGTTTGGAGTTTTGTGTTGCTTTCATCACATCGCACCTTCTAATCAGGAAATGTTAATATTCTTATATAGTTAGATCCTTTTTCGTAGTAATTTATCAATAAACTCAAATCCGTTCATGGTATAAATTGTTAGCTTGATTCGCTCAATCTCTAAGCTTATATTAATATTTTTATCTAGTTTTAAATTGAGACGGAGAGAATTTTTTTATAGTTGCTTGATCTTTTTAAAAGATAAATCATGCATTTAAGGAAAGATTTTAATTTTATTTTTATTTACGTACTTTAAATTTTTTTATATTAAAACTATGTTGTACCCTTTTTATTTAAAAAAAAAACAAATCCTTTTGATTTACTAAGTACGAACGTTGTCTGTTTCTTCTTACAAGCATGCATGCATCTCATTAATAAAAAATAATGCAACCTTACGTCAGCTATATTTACATACACACATATATATATAGATTATTCATGTTTATAGTGATACATATGTGTGAGTGGGATGTCAGTGATCGTAGTGTTATAATTAATCCTAGAATTGTCAATCTGTTCTTGGAATGACATTGGCCTTCCAGCTAGAAGAAGACAGCAGGGGATAAGGAATTCACAAATGCTAAAATGTATGTAAATGGGGGCATGTCCATGTGGATGTCCTGTTTTGTTATGGGCAAAACCCTAGTTTTTGTAGACGGTAAGAGGGAACAATATAGGCTGCAGTGGGTCTAAATTTCTTCTTTGGTATGGACACACAACTTCGCTGTTATGTCTGTCCACATGCATTTGGCCACCATCGACGTGCTTTGCAAAAACATTCAAAAGCACTACCAAACAGCACCACCACATTCATTCATCCTCTTGTCTCTTTGTAAAATATGTTTTTGTTCATGTCCAAATCTTGAGTTGAGAGCCTCCAAGTTTTCTCGTCCCTCGCACGTTCTGTATATATATAGCAGCTAGATCAAGGATCGCCATGCATGCAAAAAAAAAAAAGAAGAAAAAAAAGGAAAGCTCCATTTTCAGCCATTGGCAGCCACTCAATGATGACTACACATGTATATGGATCACCAATTAACCCTTTCTTCGTGTCTTTATCCCTAGTACGGTAACCAAATTAAATACTACTATTAATTAAGCATCTTTAGTGGTATTGTGCTCGTTTTCAAATCGATAGGTTGGCATTAAATAAAGTTTTTTTAATCATATCGTATGCGTATATAAATATGTAGACACGAGGACGTGACACTTCCGTCCATATATACAAGTTATAATTAAGTTCAACGTTCATGAATAAACAAATTTCAAATTCTTTTCGTGGGATGTTGGTTCCAAAACTTATTATCAGTACACTCAGATTATCAATTATCTGTCTAGTTCCTAATAAGAACTTTATTTCTAATTAACACGCCTATGACATGACCAATGTACCGATAAACCTTAAGAAACAATCGTTTCCTAAAAAAATTTTATTCTCATTTAATTGAAATATTTCTTTATATTTTTCTGTTAATAATCTATTTTTATCACTTAAAATTTCATAAATTCGTCTCTCAAAATTTTATATGGTCGCCCCTAATATATTATTTTTTATTCATCCCTCAACATGTCTCTTACTCTTACAAATAGTTCCACGTAACTGTAAATGAAAGAATTACCCTTTCTTTTTGCTCCACCAAATATCAATTTGGTTGGGATATTAATTGATGTTCTTCAGTCTTTCAGACATTTATTCTCTTATTGTAGCTGTTGGATTTCCACTATAAATTGGCTAGTTGCATTTGAATGTAACCTCGATTGTTTTTTACTTTTTTTTTTTAAAAAAAGGTAAGATATTCAGGATATATAACCATAATTTGTTTAAAGAAAACTCTGTCCTGAATTTTCGAATCCAGCATATCGTTAAGTGCATAAGATGGTGGACAAGTAGTGAGTAGTTGTTTCATGGACAAGAAAATCAAGAAAGATATACATTCATAGACAAGAAAGATCAACAAAAATATTACAGCATTCGTACATACCCACAACTCAACCGGTAATCCCATCCAGGGAAAATGATTGAATAGTATTTTATATAACTAATTTAATATTTCTTATTTTCTTCCTTTTATTATACGATTTCTCTTTGTAAGAGTCAGTTTTAGAAAACTATAAATAAACATATGTAAAGCTTCTAACACATATGAGTCCTTAAAATATGCTCCAAGTTCTTATTCTTTTTGTATATCTAAAATTAAGTCTCCTATAATAAATTGAATCTTAGTTCGATTGACATTATTGTTATTGCAGTACATACTAAATTAAACATGTCTTAACAAATAAACCATGTGCTAATATCTATAAAAAAATTCAAGTCTTCAAACTGGGCTATCTAGCTTGGTTCATGGTTACTTTTACACAACACAGTGGCTTCTTTTTCTAGCCGAGACATACGTAATCAGCATATTCAAAGTTTAAATGAATTAAAGGATGAGACGCTAACCTCCTCGTCACAAAGGGAAAACATATCCACATGTATCCATCCCTAAATGTGGGATTTTATTGGCCAACTTTGGCATACACACAGATGTGAAGGAAATAGTCCGGATTTATTAAATTGTTTGCCACCCAAGAAAAGGGTATCTCTAGCTTCGGTTCGATACCCTGAATTCGGATAAGCTTGATTTCGGCTCTACCAGAAATGTGGCCACCCTCTGGGTTTTTATATGCACTTTGTCCCTGGTCTTCCACTACTTTATCAGTTCTTACATCTTCATTGGGGTTTCTAGTTGCATTCTCAAAATCTACTCCAGTTAATTTTACATTAGTTAAGGATTCATCCGAAAATAATTCTGGGAGAAGGGTTTTCAAAGCATCATGTAAAGTGAAGCATTTATCTGCACAGGAGGAGGAATACAGGTAGCACATAAGCCAATCAAAGCATATCGTCTATAAGCAACCGGTTCATTTCTCCACATGCAATAGTTGACAGTTCACATGTTTGATTGCGTAAGAGGAATTGCTTACCTTCTTTGCGGATCTCAACTGGTCGATTTATGTAAGAGATCTTTTCCCAACTATCAACTCGGGGCATCTCGTCCAAATCATGGAAGTCCTCTCTTACGCTCAAAACATATAATCTAACTGGAACTCTTCCTAACAATAGCTCACCAACAATTAAAAACAAATAAATTTAAGGATGATGAAAAGATTTATATTAAAAGTGACTCGCAACCAAATTTGAATGTAACCTGAATTGTTTTTCTTCAAGCATATCAGCAAATGTATATCAACTAGTTAAGATGCACATTCTCACATAGATTAGTGATTGCTTACCGTGGTACAATATGCATTAACATGAAACAGAATTCGTACCGAGTACTGACAGGAGTTTTCTATTTCAGATGGACTATATAGAAACAAGTTATTTCACAATATTTTGATAGCGCTCGGTAGGGTTCAGCAACTGGCAACTGGCAACTGAATAGGTTGCTGTCAAACTGCACCAATGATTGAATCTAATTCATAGTTGCTTTTGTATAGTTTGGTCTGCTAAGTAGCTAATTATGGTTTCTTACTAGTAAGGATAGAAGACTGTCAACATGTACATTCAAAGATTAAGATCATCATACATCAAGAACAGGCCAGACTCAAGAAAAGGTGCAATAGACAGATAGGAAATAGGCAGATAACTGATGCAGATAACGGAAATGTCAAGAATACTCTAGGGTTTATGTGATAAAGGATAAAATAAAAACTGATTTAAAATTAGCTGACCCTTTTTTCCCATAAGCAATGGGGTAAGGGAGAGGTATGATAGTAGGCTGCCCCCAACACCAGGTTAAGAGCAGCTTCCATGGAGACCTCTTAATTATGAAAGCCCTCCGTGAGACTCGATCCCACGACCACAAGGTTAAGAGCTTTGTGCTCTACCAACTGAGCTGGACGGGCATTTTATAAAAACTGATTTTAAACTAGATATAATTAACTCTCAATTTAAGATTCTTTAGGTTAGAACTTATATTGTTCATTTTCTATTTTCCTAGAACCTTAAGTGTTAAGGCCACTTTGGTAATTCTCGGATTTGCTAGAATTCAACAACCCAAAGCATTAAAATATTTCCCATTTGTTATGAAACATATGAGACCCCGATAACTTGACTTGATGCAATTCATGTGTCTTTGTCTAAAGCATAATGACAAATATGCAAACCTGTCTTCACTTGAGCAGTTAAATCGGTTTCTCCAAGGGATTGTTGAGATTTTGGCAACCACAAACTTGTATACTCGTCGTCAACTGTTGAAAGTTTATGCTTAGATGAGACTCGTTGGTAGGCTTCCAAATTGCCTGTCAGAACCAAATTTTGAGAGTCAACTTGGAACATTGATAATTTCTTAAAGAAAGAAAAATTGTTGTGTGGGTGTGTGTGTGGGTGGGGTGGGGTGGGGGGAATGGTGAGGGAGGAAGAAAGAAATGTCACATAAAGAAGGTATACAAATTGTCAAGGGTTATTAGTAGAAGTGCAAACTGGGAAGCGAATGAATTATCTAAAAAGGGATTGGGCAATATAGGAATTTTTTATGGGTGTTTTTTGTTTATTTGGGCAATGTTTGTGTAAGGTTTTAATACTTTGTAATTTGGGGTATTTAAATCCCTTTCATTAATAAATCTCTGAGGTACTCTTTTTCTCCTCTAACTTTTTAATGAAAACTTCTTTAGTTTTTGGTAATTATGAAGGGTTTTTTTAAATGAGACCTCCAATTCTTATCAGAAAAAAAAGGTATACTTTCATATTTGTATTGTTTCTGTACAATCAATACTACCATGTTTGCAGGACCAGAGGAAAACACATCATATCCTATATATCAATTATTATGATTCGAACATTTAACCCTCTCCATTACAAACTGAACATCCACTTTTCTTTTTGTTTTAAGATATCCCAAAAAAATGTCATTTTAATTTATTTGAACTAAAATGATCACTGGACACGCATACTAAAGAATTTGAAAGGTGATACTACAAAAAGATTAAATTTCTTTAGATAAGTTGGAACATTTTGACAACTATGGATGCCATTTTCATAGAGTAAAAACGCAAATTTCTAGATAAGATTAGATAACAATCCGAATCAAGAAGTGTTGAGAATTAGAGAGAGCAGCAAATAAGGCTGAAAGAAATTGCAAATTTGTTTGCCACAATATCAAGCAAATATTAAGGCTCGTCTAGTTATTATTATTAAACTCATTTTTCTATATCAAGTACACCTATTTATGACATTAAAGTCAATTCAGCCATTGGAAATAACTTTCAAGAAAAAGTTCTTTGTGTTCCCTTAGAAACCATATGACTAACCACTAGGATGAAATTTTATTTTTCTCTATTGCTGCTCTCAATCTGAAGACTTTAAATCCTTATTTAATACTGTACTTCAGGTTTAAGCTATCATAATACTTGAATCATAAAAGCCCTACAAATCATAACATCAGCTTCTGAATTTTCCTTTGAAACCTTCTTTCTCGTTGCATGCAGAAAATGATCCTAAATCCTAAAACCTGTAAGTATTGAATAGTCTATATGGGAAACATAGACCTGAAATATTTTCTTATTTATTTTCTCAACATGTCATCATTTACACAACTGAATGTACTTAAAACAACCATTCATTTCTTTCTTACAAATGAACAAAGACTTCATTAAACCAGTGGGCAGGAAAGGAAGACAGGTTTTCCACTCATGACTGGGAAAAGCAAAATGAAATTTAGATTTTCCCATATTTAAAATATATAATATATGTGGCTTCGGAAAATCATAATATTACATTAACTATTTAACTTTTAAAGTGTAACCTTTGACAAATTGAGACCATGCCTAAGAACGAAATAGGAAGGCTAGTGCAGTTGTTGGCTATAAGAAATATGAAATTGGTCAATTCAAAAAATGTGTAAGTTGACAGAAGGACAAACACATTCAAGTGTTCAAATCCATAAATTGTGAAAAATGCTAGAAGTAGGTTCATTTTAGTTAGAATTCCCCCCCCATTTTAGTTAGAACTCCCCCCCCCCAGGAATTCATTCCATTAATCATGATCATGCAATGACCCATGCAAGTGGATTAAGCACTGATTACTCAACAGACCAAAACAAGCTACTCAAAAGTAATCAAAGTTATCCGTCTGGAAAGAATTTAGCTTACTGCATTCCTCAACATGCCCCAATGAAGCTACCTGAAGTAACTAAAGTATCAAAGTGCTCTTTTGCATCCTAGAAGAAAATGGCAGAACTTTGTTGATCCATAATAGATCATAGAATAATAAGAAGCCAAATCAAGGCTCAAAATGGGAAAAAATTGCTTTAGAAATAAATTCCAGCTGTAAATATATATTTATAGCTAACACCACCTTAACCCTTGACTGCTTTATATTATAACTATATAAAAGAAATTTCCTACTAAAAATGATTAAAGACCAAATGAAACAAACACTAGACTTGAGTCCATATTAATGAACATACATACCATTCATGATAGAATTCCAAAGATCCAACTGATCAGACTGAGACATGTTCATAACATTCTTGCAATTTCCATTCATTATGTATGCCGCCTGTTGGCATAATAGAACACTGTTACAGATGAACAGTGACAAAACATATTTTAATTATCCAATTCAAATGAAGATTTGTTACAAAAAGAGACAAATCTGAGAGGAGTAAACAAAAGCAACTAAGTGGCTATGCATATGCACCATCAAAGTACGCCAAATTAAAAGAGAGTGAAAGCAAGCATAGTGAGAAACATCAAAATCCAGCATTTAAGGAATTTTGATTTACTTTGTTCTGTACTTCTTTTATGAAAAATCCAAAATATGCATGCATCTTACAAAATAACCAAAAAAGCATCTTAAAAATATAACAGAAAATGCGAAACTCTAAAACCGCAAAAGATGCCAGAATGACCTTTTCAACTTTTAGAAGTTACCTTTTTATCTTAGCTTAGAAAGGATATAATGAAAAAATATCAGAATTCTAACTTACTTTCCATTTTTCAACTATACAGAGCAATGAATGATAAGAAAATTGTGCATGTACAACAATATAATACCCAGTAAAACTGTTAGCATTTTGACCAGCAGTAGCAGTGAGTTTCCCATGAAAATGGCGTTATCAATTTCTAGGACAACTGTACTAACCTCTTTCAATGAATTTATAAAGCTCCACTTTACAGAATCTTCTCCTTCACACGGTATCAATACATTTCCTGGATATCCTCTAAAATGGACCTGTAGTCAGGAAGATTAAAACCTTCAATTGATAACTAATTAATGGGATAAAAGTAAGAAATAAAGTAATAAGAACCTATATCCTAAAACCATTCCGTTCCTACGAATTACCAGCGTATAAAAGTTCTTCCATCTCTTGAATCTCCCCCCCCTTTCTTAATGTTTATTATTTTGGGGTAGGTTTAAATCATGCATCAAAGTTCAAAAAACAAGAGTAGTTCAATAATACTTTTATTTAGTAGGTAAAGAAACAATGATTCAGCATTGCTATAGAAGGGAAATATATTCACAGGCAACCTAGAACAGAAAAGCATCCACTAATTTATATTATGATAAAACATTAGTTAAAGGGAACTTCAACCTACAGTGATATTCCAAGGCCTTTCAGGCTCGGGGCACAGAAGATCGAAAAGAACTCCGGTTGGTATGTACCTGCAACAGAACAGCTTACGGATTTCGGTTTTCAAACATATCTGAATAATTAAACAATACAAAACGAAATTCAAAGCGAGTAAGTTTAGAGAAAGAAGGACCATTTGAGAGGGAGGCCATTGTAATCGAACCAAATGGTATCAACCCCGGGAGGAAGCGTGCTGCTAAAATAAGGCTTAATCAAAGGCGCTAACAGCGGCAGGTATCCGATCCGCGGAGCTAAGATCTGAAATGGTTTAGAATTAGCAAAGCAAAGGTAGAACGAGAAAGGAGAAAGACACAAGAACAATAGTTGACCAGAGCAGGAGGAGGAGGGGGCAGAGCGGTGACTTGGGATTCGTGAAGATGGATCTGAAGAGGAATTGCTCCTTCCCATACATACTTTTGTGCGGCCATTGCGGCTGCCAAAACCGGAATGGGGATTGAAAAGGCGACGCCACCGACGACGGCGGCAGGGTTAAAGAAGGGTTGGGAGGAGATGCGCTCTGTTTTGACAGAAAAGGAGAGAAAATAATACTACGTTAGAGTAAAACTCACTAATCACGGAACACGGGTAAATTTTACGTGTCAAGTCTTAATATACAATTAAATAAAGACGTTAATAATATTTTCGATAACATTTTTCTTAGGTTCTGAATATGTTATTGTTTAGCATTGTTTATTAAAAATGTTTTGGAGATTAAACTAGTTTTGGAGTTATAAATAACATTAAATAAATAATTTTGAAGAATAAAAAATATTGGAAAAGTGTTTTTAATCAAAATATAAAATTTGAAGTTTTTAATTTTGTATTTTAAAAAGTATTTTTAGAGTTAAATTATAGTTTTAATTTTATTTATTTGTTTTGGTATAATTTTTTAATTTTTGTCGTAACCGTTTTTCAGCTGGAACAATAGTTTATTGTTTTTAAAAAATACAGTTACGACTTTAATTTTGGAAAATGAGAGATTTTGGATCAATTTGGATAAAATTGGATAGAGTCGCCATCGGCCTTTGGGTTAGGTAGGTCGAATACCTAAAAATGTCTTTTAAAAACAATTTTAAGAAAAATCGTTTTAAGAAAACAACTGGTCTGCGTTTACCAAAGATTCGATTAAAACTGGTTCGGGAGTCGGTTACGCGTGGGGAAGGATTAGCACCCCACAACGCCCAAAATTGGTATTGTGTCGCTTACACGTTGTCGGAAATGGTGAAAATCCTGAATCAAATATCAAATTAAATTATGATACATTTATTGAAATTTAATTAATTTACTTCAAATTAATAACTTAAAAGATGAAATTCAAAAGACTGAAATAAAAATAAATAAATATTACAAACCTAAATTCAAATAACAATAACAAGTATTTAAATTTATAAAGTCCAAAATAAAAACTTTAAGAATCAAAATATCAATAATAAAAAATCAAAGGACTAAAATGACACAAACAAAAATTTAAAAGACTAGAATAGTAAAAAAAAATAAAAAAATTTAAAAGACCAAATAACATAAAAAAAAAGACTTAAGGGACTAAATATTATTGGACAGAAACTTGACACCTTAATTACAAATAAAATAAAATTAGGGTAAAAATACTAATGTTATACTATAATAAACAATGTGATGACATAAACAAATATCATCATAAAGGATTAATATTGGAAAACCCTAAAAACTATATGTATAAATTAATATATTTACATACATATTATTTGTAAACATATAGAAATTATACAATTATCATTAATAAAAAAATAATATAAAATATATGTATATATCATGCATCACTCGTACAACAAATTGAGACTTTGTATACTAGATTGATATTCAAACACCATTAATGTAATATATACGTGAATCGACAAGTAATTTATTAGGCTAAATTATAATAGGTAAATTTTTATTTAAGGGAAGTCAAAACTATTTACAATTGGAAAAGTATACTAAAAACAAGAGTGCATTCATACGCGTATAACATATATTAATATACTCTTATGGAAATATTATCACCCGAGCAATCATGCCAAATATACATGATAAAATGTGAGGACAATCAGAATAATATTAAAGGCAAATCAAGAATTAATAATATTCTGCTTTTAATGATCAAAAATGAAAAGCATGCAAAATTAATTATCATAACCAACAAAATAAAAAGCATTTTAAAACAATAAAGTGACAAAAAGGTTACACAATAAACCGAGAGGGGCTAAAGTAAAAATAATACATTTATAATATCTTATAATTGAGTGACTAAAGCATAACAAAACCAACATTAACAACTCAATCCATGAATTTAACCAAAAACTTTACAAATTATTTACAGCCTAAAGAACAGTAATTAAAAGAACAAAGCTAGTGGATTTAAAGAATAACACTAAGCAAATTAAAGAGATATTGACCACTTAATACAAGATTACATATTTCAGACCCTAAATTACTAAAACCCATAATCATGCATATGACTGAAAAGAAACATGCAAAATTAAAGAGTCAAATGTATAAATAACAGAAACTAAATTTATTACAGTTAGGACTGAAATTAAATGTGTAAAATATGGAAGCAAAATTAAAAACACGAAAACACCAATTTAAGAATCAAATGCATGAAACTGAAAGTTCAAATGTTCATATGATGTATAACCCAAAAATGAAAACTGATTTACAAAGTGATAAAATAAAAACAATGAAACAAAACAAAAGGATAAATGATAACAAGGTCCCTAAAGTGATCGTTTTGTGAAAATGCACTCAAGTTTAAGGGACCCAAAACGAAATAACCCGAAACTCAACATATAAAAATACCCTAATCTGGCCGCATTCTCATTCCTCTCCATTCTCTCCCTCATTCTCTCGACGAAACTAGAACCATGGCCACCGTCACTTCGGGCCTCCAACAACCGTGCCTTGGTGGTACTCATCCCTCCGACCAACCATCAACAGTGGTTCTAACCTCTCGATAACTGCCTTTAAACCAAAGATACTAACTCTAAAGCGTTTAAAGGACTCTCTACTTCCCAAATCTAACCCTAAAACAAAACAGAGTTAAACCTCCATCACCTAAGACCGGTTCTAATATTCCTCCTTTCCTCTCCGACGACAAGCTTTCTCTTTTTAAGGTAACCTCTTTACTCCTCTCTATTTATTTTTTATTATTTTCTTATTTGTGGGCAACTAGGTTGGATTCGAAAATAATAAAAATGTATATCTATGTTGGTTTTTATATATATATATTACTATACCCTAAGAGAACCGAAAAGAAATTCTACTCAACCTAATCGAACATGCAAGGATTTAAAGTGAACAAATCAGAAAAAATGCATTAAAAATGATGAAAATAATAGGAAAAAATAGTAAATAATAGATACCCTTTTAGTCTTTTATTGCTTGAATATAGAGTTTACAGTGTCGTTTGCCAGGATTTTCCCCAATCCCTGTTTCAATCTATTTTTTTTTGTTATTCGAATGCTCTCTGATGAGTGTTTTTTTGTTCTTCCTTTTTCTCTCACAATCTGTTCAAAACCCTTTAATTTATGCTTGATATCCTCACCAAATCTTCATGGCTGTATCTTGATTTTCTTCGTATTTGGTAAGATACTGACTAATTTAGGTGAAATTATTAATTGCTTGACTTTAGCTAATTGAAGCAGGTAATCTATCGATGTAGATGATTTGTGCAAATCAATGCGTCGGTGTTGGCTCAATGGCTCGGCATGGCTCGTCGATGGCTCAGCTCATGTCTGGGAGTTGGTCTGCTGCTGATGGATTACTGAGTGGATCCGGTTCTTGGGCTTGAACTGGGTTGTAGCTTATAATTGGGCCACATTTGACATGCAAAAAATAAACACACTTAATAATAATAAATAATTTAATAATTTTTTTAACCCGGACAAAAATGGGTGTCTACATATTTATTATTAAATGGGGTATTTATTTTATAATTTATAAAATAGTAATTTTATATTTTTTTGTCTGGATATATGATATGGTTATTACATTATTGGGTAAAGTATCCAAATGATCCATCGACTATAAGATATTACTTTGTTGAGTCTCTTGATGAGTAAAGTTATAAAACGGTCCTTAAACGTTAAGGTTCTGCTTTGTTGAATCCTTCAATTATTAAAATTTACAAAATGATCATTTAACTATTCATATGTTCCAAACTCGTCATTTTCTGTAAAAAAATGATGGTTTTCTGAGTTAGACATTAACATGCTAACTGAGATATATTTAAATAATATTTTAATGATAAATATGCATCGCCGTTGCTTTCAAGCACTAACTCGACGACATAATGTAATCAAAGACTCAATTCATAAAATAAAGCTCAATCGGTTTTGAGATAAAATTTTATCATATCTCAATCAGCATATTAATGTATAGCTCAAACGATAGCCAATTTTTTAATGTAAAAGGATGGGTTTATAACATATGAATAGTTGGGTGATCATCTTGTAATTTTTAATAGTCGAGGAACTCAAAAAAGTAGTATCCTATAATTGGGGGCGATTTTATATTTTTTAATAGTTGAGGACTCAACAAAGCAACACCCTATAATTGATAGATCATTTGTGTACTTTGCCCTAAATTATTTATGAGTTTAAAATGTTTATAAAATAAGTAAATTATTAAAAATTATTTGGTTCTTCATAAAAATTTTTTATCATAATTTAAATTAATATATTTTACATATTATAACAGTAAAGAATTTAAAAATGATTTAAATGTGTATTTTTCTAACTTACATCAACATGTTTAAAATGGTCCGTTATTTCTTGAAAATATTATGAATATTTATGTGAATGTCTATAATCTATATGTAAGATACACATTATTATTAGATCTCTAATACCCATTAGTATTAGAGTTATATTACAACCTAGTTATGGCTATAAATATAAAGGTTAGAGAGAACATTGTACACAACTCAAATTGAGACAATAATGCCTCCCCTTATCTTATATTTTCTTATTGTTCTTATTTCATACAGATTGCTTCGTTCTTTCTTATTTTATAACATGTTATCAGCATGACTTGTTTAGAAGAAATAGTTTATTTATATCGAAGAATTGATTTATCATTCACGACTATTCATTCAAGATCTAAGATGATAAAAATCGAATTTTCAATCGCAGCACACATAATTTTAGATAATTATATTTATTATTTTTTCCATATGTTAGTACAATCTGAGAAAGGGCAGGTGTGGATTTGTTCCTTACAATTCAAAGATACTTCCAAAAGCAATTCCCAGCAACTTTGATATATAAGATTCGAGTTTATGGTTAACTAACAATAGTGGTTTTACAGAAATCAAACAGCGGTTTTTCGGATTAACCAAGGGAAGGTGTGAAAGCACCAGTTACTTCAATATGCAAGCATAAAATAAAAGAAAATATTTTGACATGAAAGTAATGCAGTCAATCAGTGAGATTGGAAGCTGTGATTTTTCTTTCTTTCTTTCTTTTTCTTCTTTTTCTCAATCGAATGTCTAACTGCAACGGCGGCAAGAAGGGCCTCTTGGTTTTTTTAT